CCCCAAAACCCCAAAACCCCAAAACCCCAAAACCCCATATATTCACGGACTATAGAGCTTTAATAATTTATTTACCTATTTTATGGATCTAAAGTGCAGTGGCCCAAATTGTGCCAACACCCCTACTTCCTACATTCCTGCTCTGAGTACCTTCCTATGTCCGAAGTGTGCTTTGGAGATATCTTGCAGACACGTGTGTAAGCCTTTGCCTGATGTTAAGTCAGCTGAGCACTCTCTCAGATTCGGTAAGTTTTAAACTCCTTTTTTCCTTGTAACCAATACTGACATCTGATATAGCAAAGTATTTAATCAACAAGATAAATGAGGCTTGCGGTGCTTTCAACGTTACTTCGCTATTCTCTGATGCCAAAACTCAGCTTGTAAAATTTAATCAGGAATACAATAAGCTATTCTCTCAGAACACAACTGTAGTTGCCAATGCGTTGAAATCTGAAGGAAACGAACTTTTTTTAGCCCAGCATACAGAAGAGTGTCAGGAACTTGTGAAAACAATCACTGCTTCTGAAGTCAATCAAATTTGCAGAGACCTCAAGGAGTCGAGGGAGTTCAACTCCACTGCTGAAGAGGAGAAGGAGATGGAATCACTCAAGGAAAAGGTCTCCCAAGGAATCAGCTCTAAATCAGCTGGGAATATCTCTAAGATGAAAAAGGAAGATATGGCAAATATGCTAAGAGCGCAGCATAGAATCATGGGAGAGCAAGCTTCAAAGATAGCTGAGTTGACCCAATCAGTGAGGCAAGCCAAAAAGGAGACCTTAGAAACTAAGCAAGAAGTCTTAGAAGCTCATAGCATGATCCAAGCTCTTGCTGCCACAGGCAAAAAGCTCAAATCAAAGCTAAAGACTGGAGATGATAAAAATGTGGCCAATTTGAAGGATATTCAAAAGAGTCAAAATAAAGTTACAAATCTCAGACAAAAACTCGAAGAATCTGCTCATTCTGATCAAATGCTTGAGGAGGACAAGCTTGAAGAGGCACCTGTTTGAACTAAGACCCAGCAAGAAAGAATTGATGACTTCAAAAAGGTCCATTATGAGGTTCTTGGAAAAGAAATAGACATTAATGATTCTTCTGTACTCACTATCCACGTTAGCAGTCAAGGGTAAGATAGATAAAATTGTCTTCATTCTTTCATTAATTGGCTTTATTATTAAACCTAAGCACTAGTGATGTCAACTGGCTAGCATTCTCCATTGTTTCTTGAAACTTTAGATAGGGTTTATAACTAGAAGGATTTTGATGATCATCTCTTAATTTCAGATAGCTTCGTCTACTCTTTGAGTAGAATAGTTTCCAATTTTCAATCTGTAGGCTTTAACAATCTCTAGAAGCAAAGATACTTAAATAAAACTAAGGGTATATAAAATATACAAAGGATGTAACATCCTGAAGAAATTGTCTGACTTGGAACACTCTCTCTTGGTCGTCCAAATAAACACTTCTCTTCAAAAATATCTATAAAATTATTAGATTAAATAACAATTTCCTTATAGAGAGCTAATCAAAAAGACTAGAAAGCTGCCAAATATTGAGCACTTACAACTTCTGAATGTTTGGAACAACCAAAGCTCGAGTGATCTCAACAAATACCTGAGAAGCAGTATCCCAGATAAGCTGAACCAATTTGAGTTCAACTTCAACAATAACGGGGCTGGAAACATTCATTACAAGACTTATCATAAAAGCTTGCTGAGGGCGATCAGAAAAGTACGCCAAAATTTAAACTTTGGTCAATGTAAGATTATGAAAAATGAATTTGAAGAAATCATGATTGCTGCCAAGCACTGCAAATCCATAAGATTCTTCAGATGCTCTATCATCACTAACTCTGAGTGTGACTTTGGAGACAAACTTGCAGATGCTACATTTTCTGAGATAAACTTTGAATTAACTGGATGCGATGCAACCTCTAATTGGAAAGGGAATCCTGATTTCTTTAGTAATATTTTCACAGGAATTGCTAAATGTTCACCTGCTGCTAAAACAAACCTGCTGTTTGTCAATATTAATGCTTGTCAATACGATGTAAATGAAGCAAGAAGGATCCTTAGAGAGCTTGGATTCAAAAATGCGCTTGTCACTCTTTAACATTTTCAGCAATTATCTTCCATAAATATGAATTAGTGGCTAATTCAATGCTTCATGTTATAAAAGGGGTTTTGGGGTTTTGGGGTTTTGGGGTTTTGGGG